AAAGAGTATGTGTGGAAACAGAAGAGTGAAGGGCTAATTGCTAGAGAGGTCAAGGATACAGTTAAGTTTGGAAGTGGTTCACTGATGGAATGGGGCTGCAGAAGGTGGAATGGAGAAGGGGTTTTGAGTGAGGTGGAAGGATGGATGGATGCTGAACAGTATGTGGCCATTTTGGAGCAGGGACTGCTGCAAAGCTTGGAAGATTCTGGAATTCCAGAAGGTCATATAATCTTTCAACAAGATAATGGCCCCAAGCACACCTCTAGGAGAGCCCAAACTTGGTTGGAAGAACAGGAAATCAACCTTCTGGACTGGCCTGCACAATCTCCAGACTGTAATCCCATTGAACATACTTGGAATCACCTCAAGAGATGCCTCTCAGGTTATGAGAGTGCTCCTACAGTCATTCACTGACTGTGGGAAAGAGTGGTGGAAGAGTGGGCGAAGATTGATGAGGAGCAGTGTCAAAAATGGATAGAAAGCATGCCTAGAAGGATTGAAGCAGTTATTAGGGCCGAAGGAGCTCATATGAAGTACTAGATACTTAAATTGATATAAAGTCAAAAAACTGACTGCATGAGTCACCATTTTGAAATGGCTGCCATTTGATCAAACCTTATCCAAAACCCTTGACCCCTGCACCAATAGAGAGCCAATGGTAAGGGCTTTGTTTCATACACTTATAGGTTAGGGCCTAGGTTAGGGGATATGGGGCAGTATTGACTTTAGTGAAAAATGTCCAAATATGCAGTCAGTTTTTTGAGCCACTGTATGATGTAGGTCAAGGGTGGGGCCATGTAAAATGCAGGCCAATAATCATATAACAGGTTAGCAGTACCTCTGACACAAGGGACAGAGGATAGGGATGATGGGGACCTCAACTGAGACAAGGAAACTACTACAATGAGGGAGAGAGGGTATGTATATACTGAAGGAGTGGAAGAACAGAGAAAAACTGATACAAGGGCAGCACCCTATCTGGAATGCAGGGTTGCAAGTCTGACAACCTGCTGAGCCAACCAAGGTCTCAGAGGAGGCACAGATGAAGGTCTGGCCTCCACATGACTGGCCTGAGAGCAGAGGTGAGTGGACTTGGTTGGAATGCAGGCAGGGGACCTCAGAGAGGTGTGGAGATGTGTCAGGAGGGTCAGAGGAGCACAGGAATGCATCAGAAGAGGGTGGAGTAGATGTTAGGGGCTTATGCCAATGTCATGGTCATGACAGGTATTTGGAGAACCAGAAGCTGAGATCTCAGGAGGGATAGGAAAATATGATTACATAATAAACCACATGATCTTCCAGATGATTTGTCATCATGTAAACAATGACAAACATTGGACTTGTACTGTTAAGCCTCTCTCTTTTACCACAATTCAAGAAATCATCTCTCTGGTTAGTATCAAGACATTCTTCTGGCACTGTCTAGCTAGTGTTGGAATTTTCCATGCTACAGAATGTCTGGAGACTTTTCCCTGGTCACAAGGGGATCAAGTCACATTAAATCCAAATTTGGCAGGATTTCACCTGTTTTGGTTTAATCCTAAAAAGTAAACTTACATAGAATCTACCTAAGTGTCCTCATCACTGCTGATCCTCTCAGTGGTGTCACACACTAAAGGTGTTGTGGACATGGTTACAGCTGACTCTGGATAACTCATCAATGAGTTGCACATGGTGCCATGCAGATGAAGACCAAAGCCCTCATGTATAGAAAGACTGTTGGACATGAGCAGTCATCCTTCACACAAGAATGAATCATCAGTGCTAAAGAGAAAAGAGGATGTGAGTTAAGCATGCATCAAAGGTTTTTAGTGCCTGTGTATGGCATTCTGGTTTTCATTGTATCTCCACCATTTCCAAAGATATCAACTCCATTCTCACACTTGCTTAAAGTGCTCAGCCATGCAATTCTGCCTTCTAAATTTGGAAAGGATCCTCATACCCTATGCATTTCTACAGCACTTCATCCATCAGATGCTCATTTTGCTAAATCCATCAGATATGGCTGCCTCTTGATCAATCATCTCACTTGTCTCTCTTGCCAGAGACAGTGGCTATGTATATCTGCCAGGCATTCCCACCAGCTTCCATCCTGAACCCCCCTGGTTCATCCCATTGTTGTCAGCCCTGTCTCATCCCATGCAGCTTGGTCAGCATGTTCTCCTTGTCAGTATGACTTCCAGAAGGATGTTCTTTGGTTGCCTCAGGTTTGTCACATGGTTAGAAAGGTCTTATGTGGTCTTTTCAGTCTCCCCACTTGCTGAAGCATATGGATCATTCCTCCCTGCTCCCTGCAATGTCTTTATTCCAATCTTATCCATCACTCTCACCACATTGCAACAGCTGCAGTATAATCTACTGTTCTCCTGCCTCCCTGATTGCATCCATGATGAGTATGATGTGCATCTTGCCTTCTTACTGCAAGATCCAGCAGAAGATGTCCCCCCTTCTCCTCCTCCTCCATCAGAGCCCTGTTCATAAAGCATTTTGTTAACTTTGCTGAGAGGATGAATGCTGAGAGGATGAATGGGTGGGAGATGTGATCGCCTATGCTCCCATTGCCCCACAGACCCCCAATATCCTAGCCCTTTGATGCCTGACTCATGCCCTTCAATTCTGGAATTAATACTTCCCTATCAGGAAACACCATCCATCTGTCATTCCATCTTTGGATCTAGTGATGTCTCTGCCAAGATCTGACATGCATCACCACCCCCTAATGTGATATCAGTGCACTTACTCAGTTTCTGACATTCCTTGACTCATTCTGTGATATTTTGACTGTCCTTGACTCATTCATTGTCAATACTCACCAATCCTCCTTGCTTGCTTACTTTTCATTTCTTGCTTATTCATCATGATTACTCAGTCCTTACTCATTACTTACCAAGCATTTGTGCCTCAATTGTCATAGGCTGTGCTCCCCCTACAGTATATAAACCCTCATGTACTTAGCCACAACCCAAGTCAATCATCATCAGAAGTCACTCAGCAGTCAGTTCAGTTCATCTCTGAAGTAACTCATCATCAACAGTTGAAGCTCCATGAAGGGGTCTATCTGTCACCAATCATCATCCTTGGTATTTGAGGCTCCATTAAGGGTCTATCTACCTCCATTCATTATCTGAAGTATCATCTGTGCTTAGTCAGCACACACACATAGTCATCCATCCACTCCTGCATAACTCATCAATGACTTGCACCAGGAGCACATTCTGTTGAAGCTCATCACTCTAGTCAGCATCCCCCTCCCAGTCATCATCCATTCATCTACTCCTGCATAACTTGTTGACAACTTGCACTAGGAGCACCTACCATTGAAATTCACCCACCTTAGATTTTTCTGCCCTCCAGGTTCCACAGAGGTAAACCACCACTCACTTGTATTTGTCTTTGGTGTTGGTTTTGGTTGGTTTCCACCACCTTTCCATGCTTTGACTCACATCAGACTGCTGGATGGATCTGCTACTGTACCTTGGTTCCATTTATAACTGCTGCTCATGGAGTCCACAGGCATACCAATTCTGAGAGGCATGCTGTGAGTCAAAGTGTGGTTCAGTGGTGTAAACCAACCAAAACCAACACAAAAGACAACAAAAGTGAGTGGTGGTGTGCCTATGCAGTACCATGGGTTTTTGTGAGTTACAACACTCAAAGATGAGCGCTGAGAGTTGGGGGCACTCCTGACAAAGAGGGAGCAAGTATGTGAGAGATTGGGATGGGGTAGACTGCTGTCAGCCTACAGAAGGATGAATGATGATTGAATTTGATGTCCTAAGCTATTCTGAGCTCAGGGAGGACTTGGAGAAAAGCTGATTGATGATAGATGATGATAAGTGAAGTAGACAATAGTTAGGTCCTCAATAAAATCTCAACTAATGGAGGCTGATGAATGAATTACTGAGAGATGATGAAATGTGAGCAAGAGGGGCTCTCTGATGTCTTCTTCTTATTCAGATATCTAAACACAGTGATTTATATACAGTACAGGGGCATTTCTTAGGGGGAGAATGAGGTGCAAACACTTGGTAAGTGATTGGTAACTGTTAAGTAAGGAATGTAAGCAGTGGGTAATTGACTTGGAAAGCATTGGTGAGCATTGGTAAGGATAATAAGCCAAAAAGCAAAGAATTAGTGAGCAAAGTCAAAAGATTGGTATGTATTGGCAATAGGAAGGACAGTCAGAATACCAAAGTATGAGTCAAGCATTGTCAGAATGAGTAAGTGCATGGGAATTGCATTAGGGAGAGGCTGTCCATGTCACATCTTGAAGGAATTGCTTCTAGGCTAAGGTGGGATGACAGAGGGGAAGTGTTGATCTGATGCCAATATAGGACATCCAAAAGGGGATGTCAGGTGTCAGTTGTCAAAAGGGGTCAAGCTTTGGGGGTCTGTGGGGTGATGGGAGCATAGGGGATCATAACTTTTCCTCCCAACTGTCCTCTCAGTGAAGCAAATAAAAACTTCATGCACAAGACTCTGTTGGAAGAGAGGATGAAGGGGGAGTATCTTCTGCTGTATCTTGCAACAAGAAGGCAAGATGTGCATGATACTTGTCATGGATGTGATCAGGGAGAGTGGAGAACAGTACATTATCCTGTAGCTGTCACAATTTTGGAAGAACAATGGACAAGATGGGTACAAAGACATTGCAGGGAGGAGGGAGGAAGGATCCATATGCTTCTTGGACTGGAGAGACTGAAACAACCACATAAGACCTTTCTAACTGAATGACAGACCTAAGGTGACCAAAGAATGTCCTCCTGGAGGTCATACTGACAAAAAGAATACACTGTCCAAGCTGGATAGGCTGAGATGGGGCAGACAAGGATGGGATGTTCAGGAGACATTTGAACCTATGGTTTCCCTGCACATATCACTGAAGATCAGTACAAGAATTGAGGGAAATGAGCTATCAATTTATATTCATGTCTCCAGAGATGGTGCTCAAGAATAGTCAGCCCAACTCACTGCTAGTGACATCAGCATACCATAAGCATATGCTCAGCAATGTTGATGATGTGGCACATTGCATCTCACAGTGGGGTGGTGACTTTTGACCTGTGTATGGTGAGTTAGACAAATTGTGGTCATTTGTCCCACTCAACATACCAGTATATGCAACATCTGCTAGAATGAGCCCATCTGTCCTTGCTGAAGTCTGCCACATTCTACACATCAGTTCAGCCAAATCATTCTATCTCAATCTAGGAAATCATTGGATCAATGTCACACAAGAATGCAAAATCATACCAAATATTACCAATATCAGCACTCTGGACTTTGTTTGTGAAGGCATGGAGAGCAGCAATGATCTTCTGCACACTCTGATTTTCATCAATAAAGTTCTAGACAGTTAGCTAGTATGGAGAAGGTCATAGGAAATACTACCTGCACACCTTTGACAGAGTGTAGACTATTTAAACACTTGATGATCATTGGGGTCAAAGAAATTAGTACTACAGCACTTCCAAGGTGGTCAGACCAGAGTCCTCATTGTGATGGAGATCAGTGGCATGGTAAGCTCACGTCCAGTATGTTATCAGCAATGATAAAGATAAATAAAACTATTAGGGGCTTGATATACCTGACATATACTCTCACCATTCAGTTGGTGTGCTGCTGTCCTTTGACCATATGGCAACAGCATGCAGGTCATGTAGGGCAGTCTTCTCATGTACAAGTGTGGGCAATTCTGTTAGTCAAGTCATCTGCCTTGCAATGTGTCAGTTCCAATGAGGTGGAAATTGTTGATGGCAAAAATAATGAAGAGGAAGACATGGCCTACCATAAGAAAGTGGAACCTGCACTGCATGAATGGGTTGAGACTTAAGGATGCCAGCAGGAAATCACTGATAAGTTCTTTGATAACCCACCTGGCTGTTTGTGTGAGTCAACTTCTATCTTCCCACATGCCCAGCTCAACATGCCACTTCCAGCACCTACTGGACAGTGCTGTGACAATTGCACATGCAAAGCCATGTCATCTAAATCCTGTCCTTCCCCCAACAGTGCTATGGCTCAGCTGACCACCACAATTGAAACCATCAAGGATGAGCCCAGTCAACAACTCAATGCTTTTGGAAAATGGCTAATGATGTCTGTGGCCCATGAAAGCACTGATTGGGTAGGTGAACACCTTCTTTGTGTTCATTAGACCTTATTTTGATGGCACACTGATGCCTACAATCAAGACTATCCTGACTCCTGTTTCACTGGCATTGCATTACTTCCAGATGGTCCACTCACCACCATCACTTCCAATCATTGCCTGAAGGTGTTGGATGACCTGCAAACAATGCTTAGCACATTCTGGGCATTTGTTGAAGTCTATGGTGGAGAGGTACTGACACTGGTGAAGAAGAGGGATGAAGAACAAGGATATCTGGCCTATGAAGGCAGTCACCAACTGTCAGGCCAAACATCAGGCCACAGAGGCTGCCAAAGCAATTCAGAACCAGAAAGCAGATGGTAAGCTTACTAGTGGTGGTGTGTGAGGGTGAGGGCAGCCTGCCAAAGGCAAAGAAAAAGGATATCAAATACTTGGAACATCAAGGTGTATAGTTTGACACCTGTTCCATACTATGTCCACTGACTTCTACATAGTTTTCATATTTCAGAACTCTGCATTCTGACACAGGTAGCACCTGCACACACATTCACTCCTCACACACCTGTACCTGGCATACTCACACTGCCACATGCACCTGCACCTGCACCCTCCTTTGCCAGCCTACTGCCAACTGGACAGTTTATCAACTTTGCAATCTATACTCTTGAGTATCCCTGCTCCCATTGAGCTCATAAATGCTACATGAACAACACTTACTCCCATTACAATGCTGCAACTGAATTTTTTCTAGTATCCATGTTTTCTTCATGTAATGTTCTTGCTGAATATTTTGTTTAAGTGCACATATTGCCTATCAGTTTATATCTCCAAGTTAAACCACTTCCAATAGCTCTAATGTAGAATGTGCAAAGTTTTGGTGCTCCCACCACTGCTGGATTGCCTTCCATGAAAATAGATGTGCTTCTCCCAATGAAACAATGTTCTCAACATGATCTGTGTTTGCCCTTGCATGCCAAGCATCTTTTTGCACATGGATTTCTGATGCATGGTATACACCTTTGAGTTTCTCAATATCTTTTTTTTGCAGGATCAGTGTGAGTGAAACAGTGTGAGTCAAAGTGTGGCTCAGTGGTGAAAACAAGCCAAAACCAACACAAAGACAAAGAAAGCATGTGGTGGTGTGCCTATGTGGCACCTAGATGGTAGAAGCTCTTATTTGGGTGGGTTTTTGCAAGTTACAACACTCAAAGATGAGTGCTGAGGGTTGGGGGTGCTCCTGACAAAGAGGGAGCAAGAATGCAATGGGGTAGACTGCTGTCAGCCTACAGAAGGATGGATGATGACTTAATTCAATGTCCTAAGCTATACTGAGCTCAGGGAGGACTTGGAGCAAAGCTGATTGATGATAGATGATAATAAGCAAAGTAGACAATACCTAAGGTAGAGCTCAAACAGTTTTGATGCATATCACATGATGTGACAGAGTGTGACAGAGAGTTCGCAAAAAGTTAGCACTGGCCCAGAGTGTGGCAGCTCTGGAGTGTTGCTTCCATAATAGGAAACCCAAGGCTCTGACTTTTGGTGTAGTCCATTAGAAGATCATAGCATTACTGTTGTATGATACTTCATCTAACCTATGGTACTTGCATTAGAATTAGTTTAGTTGATCCACATGAAATTTCACAGAGATCTAGGGGAATCTTACACCAGTACAGCTCTAGTTGCACAATGTGGTGAGTAGACTTACATTATCTTTTTTCTCCTCAGCCTCAATGGAGTCTGACACTCTCTTCTTCTTTGCCCAGCATCCAAGGTTGGAAAGGCCAACTTGTGCCCTCCCTCAAATGCTTGGGCATTGGGCCAACCAATGCACTGGAGAGTGTGGCAATGCTTCAGACAATATTTGTACATGATATTAGACTTAACAATACTACTTTTACTTTATAAAACTATCTCCTTTGTTGCAACTAATTTTGATATTCTGAAACTGTCAAAATCTCAGTACTGATGATTTAGACAATCTGACAGTTTGCAATTTGTAATTCTAGCTAGTGTTTGTTTTCCTATGGTTTTTCCCTCATTTTGTCATGTTTTATCACACTTTGTCACATGACATGTGTTGAAACTGTTTGTGCCCTACCTTAGACCCTTAATAAAGTCTCAACTATTGAAACTGCTGAATGAATTACTGAGGGACAATGTGTTACATTTCACCCCTATTTTCACCTTGCTCCTGCCTCATTTTGGTTCTGTTGGACTTGTTTCTCTTTTTTGGCCATCTTCTCATTGATCCAACAGCCCTTTACTTCCACCACTAGCATTTATATCTTGCAACATGCTTAGGAAATGTGTCATCATTGCTCAACCAATGGCATAGTTACCTCATTACATGTGGATCCCTCATGGTCCATTCTCCTGTAGTATTTAGACTGCCAGCTCAAGCCCTGGATCCCCAGACTTGAGCTGCTCAATCATACACAGTGTTCCTCAGAACTTTTCCCTCAGTGTCCCTAACCCAGGCCACTCTTACTGGAATTGCCAAATCCTCTGTCATTTACAGAGGTTACCTTAGCCATTTGCTAGGTAGAAACCATAGTCTGTGACTGAGCTCAACCTACACCTTGACTGCAGTCTTAGCATAACAAAAGCTCAAGTCTCCACAGCCTATTGGCTGAAGGTCACTGTTTAGCATACCACCATGAACCCCCAAAATAACTGATGTTGGGCCCATTGTGACCCACACCAGAAGAATCATCATCTGATGAGGAACAGGAGAGCACTGTCACAGACACCTCCTCCAACAAACCCAAACAACTGGATAGAGGCTTTACCTCAGGTATCCTCTCAAACCTCTTCACTTAGTCCCTTGCACCTCTTGGTACTCCCACAGTACCTACCCCCACCACAACCCCTGCACTCCTGCCCCTGCCCCAGAATACAATGTTCAGTTCATCATCAAAGGCAACAACAGGCACTACCACTGTTAAAGCAACTGAATTGAAGATTGGTGCCCCATCCAATTTTGATGGAGACCAGAAGAATGCCATGAGCTGGCTGTTTTCAGTCCAGACCTATCTCATGGTCAATGAAGAAGTATATGACTCTGACACCAAAAAGGTGGTCTACACATTGTTGTATATAAAGGAAGGGGTTGCTTGCTCTTGGGCAACAACCTTCCAGAAGGTGTCTCTGGAAAAGACCCCCTCAAGTTTCAGCACTTTTGCTGATTTTATCAAAGATTTTAAGGTGTCATTTACCTCCCCTGACTCCACTGGTGTCACAATTTCCAAATTATGCACCCTCAAACAGAAAGACTCAGTGGAACAATAAATCACTGACTTCTGCACCACTGCCACTGATTTCACCATCACCCAGGATGTCACCTTGATTGAGTTTTTCTCTCAAGGACTCAAATTGTTCATTGCAAACTGCATCCACATGATGGAAACCACCCTGGAAAAGATCAACAATGGGTACAAACAGGCACAGAAGTTTGATGCCAAATGGAGGAAGGTAAATGAGCTTTCTGGAAAGAAAGAAAAGAGGATGTTCTACCCCAAGAACAGCCTTGCTGAAGAAAAAGATCCAAATGCTATGGACATGGATGGAGTGAGACTCTCCAGAGAAGAAAGAGACCAACACATCAAAGAAGGAAGATTTTTTGGTTGTGGAAACAAGGGACATCTCTCCTGAGAATGTCCAGACAAAGGGAAGACCCCCCAGAAGAAGGTCAAAAAGATAAGAAATATCATTGAAATCAAAGAGAGTGATGATGAAGAAAAAGTTGCTGGACCCTCTGTTGCCTTACCCCTTGCTAGGGCTCTTGGGAAGGGTTTTTAGAAGGGAACTCTGTGTTGACACCAGATGTTCCCAATAAAAAGGACAGTTCTATTTCTGTTGCACCTGTACTAGTATCTTCAACTCCAGATCATACTATGCAAATTCCCATCTCCCTTCATGCATCAGAAAGAACTGGAAATGTTGTCAACACTACCACACTGGTTGACTCTGGTGCTGAAATATCTTGTATTGATTGGGGCTTCATGCAAAAGCATAAAATCCCCACTCAATGACTTGCTGAACCCATCCTTGCTAAAAATGCAGACGGATCCCAGAACTCCCAGGGAAAAATCTTGTTTTCTGCCACCCTCTACTTCAAGATTGAAGGACTTGTCCATCAGTCCTTCTTTCATGTCATAAATTGTGGGTCAGAAAATGTGATTCTTGGTCTCCCTTGGCTGCAAGAAAATAACCCCATTGTTGATTGGAGAATGGGAACTCTCTCCATTGATGAGAAAACCAACAGGCCAAAGGACCTGTCTTGAAACATCACCTCTGTTCCTATCAAAGAACCCACTGTAAATCTTGTTACCCCTGTTAAAATGAAAGGGATAAACAAATTCATGGATTATGAAAAAAAGAACCAGAAGATGAGACTATACATGCTCACTTCATGATGGCACTTGGAAAACTCATTGAAGAAGCTAAGAAGGTCAACCCAAAGAATAGCCTTCTTAGAAAAATCACTACTGCCATGGAACTGGCCCAAAAAGAAGCAAAGAAGAAACCAAAGGCAGTCCTTCCTGAAGAATACAACAAATTTGCCTTGGTTTTTGAGAAACCATCTGATGGGACACTTCCCCCATCATGACCATATGACCATGCCATAAACCTTGTAAAGGACTTTGTCCCCAAGGTGGCCAAAGCATATCCACTCTCTCCTTCTGAGAGAGAGCCTGCAGAGAAATTCATTGAAGAAA